GAGAGAGAGAGAGAGAGAGTGTGTGTGTGTGTGTGTGTGTGTGAATGTTTCTCTCCTCACTCTCTCTGTGCGCTCGTCTGCTGCGGTTATCATGGACAAGCAGTCTTCATATCAGCAGGTAAAAAAAATCTCTTCCTCTGTGTTGATTAAGCTTGTATTTTAGCTCCTGCTGAATGCTTTGCTCTTTGCATACTGGCTTTATTCAGTCTGCATTCTGTGTTTTGTGGATCAGCAGCTCCGCTAGATGTTTACAATGTCAAATACTTTTCACGAGCAGTTAAACAAATCTATTAAAAGAAGTCCACATGCATTTTAATGAGTCTACTTACCACATTAAGAGTAATTGCCTATTTAGTTGAAGATGACTACCACAAACATAAAGAAAGTAAACAGTTTTGCTTAAACAAGTACATCTTTTTACTGGAAAACAAGGTGAAAATGTATATTCTTGTTGTCTTGCTAGTATCTCTGTACATCACTGTTGAGGTTTTTCCAACCGAATGAATTTGCTGGTTCTGGAGCTCAGATGGACAGGAAGTTCGAAGCAGTGGGGTAGAGGTCTGCGCGGGACTGTTTTTTTTTAGTCCCGCTCCCGCAAGGTTGTATTCCGCACCCACCCGCTCCCGCTATATATTCACTCTTTGTTCACCCGCTGTCCGCTTAGAATAATTTTCTTCCCGACCCGACCGTTCCCGCTAAATTTAGATCTCGTTTCCAGAATCTCACATTTAAATTTCCGCCACTGAAAGAAAGAGAGAGAGGCTGTCAAATAAAAGTGTATTCTGCACAAAATTGTGTTATTTTATTCGCCTTGTCAAGAGTCTTGAATTTATTGACTTTGACTTGAATTAATATGAATTATCTTAAGACACAAAATTTGTTTAATATTTTATTTTAAAATACAGACCCCGCAAATAAAACGCGTGACGGTAAAGCATGCGTGCAGCGCGTGCATAACAGTCCTGAGCGCACGCTGTACCCTTCCGGTGGTCAATAAGAATAAAACGTAGATATGCTGTTCTAAATGGACGCGGGGAACGGGATATTGGTAGACCGCCCGCTCCCGTTCAAATTACACCAGAGTTACCGACCGCTACCGCGTTTTATTCGGGAATTTAATCCCGCGGCGGAAAAAAACTGGTCGGGTCCCGCGCCGCGGGATTAAATTCCCAAAGACCTATACAGTGGGGTGTCATTTTGAAAATTAAAATGCGCTAATATTGGATGATAGCAAGGTTTGGACACCAATATTCATAACAGACCTGATCTATTAAGTAAAGTAATGCAACAAAAAGGGCATTCTATTATAAGAGCGCTGCATGATCAAGCAAAAAAATTAAATGTGCATCGAATTGAAACCATTAAACTGATAATGAAGCACATTTTCCCGTGTTGATTTGTAACAGAGCTGAATCTTTGGTGAACACACAGAGGGCATCACAAATAAACCCTTTACTTTCATTAGGGGTGTTGGAAAGAGTTGCTGCATGTATTCTCTTTTCTATTAATTAATGTGGTTTCTCTGATCCTCCTCCACATTCACTGCCTCATTTCACCCCTTCACTCCATTTTCAAAGCGTTCTCTCTTTCGCCCACACAGCACATTGTTGTACCTGCCAATTCGCAGCTCCCACACACACTCTCGCCCACTAACACCCAGCCACACGAATGCAGTGGTGCCCCAAGCCCACACACACACACACATTAACACCAAACCATAATAACACATAGGAGCAAAGATGCCTTGAGTGCTGATGAGCTTTTCCTGAACTTTCGCACAAGCATGCATATATTTAAGTGATGTCAAACGAGTGCTGTTGTACTGAATAAGTATCCAACTACAGCTGTTATAGCTGGGCTGATATTCTGTATAACAGCACAGTTCCTAGTGTGAGATGTTGTTCAGTTGTTCTAGATATGTTGTCACTATTCTAGACAGTTGCTTCTGTCTTTTCCTGACTGACTTTAATTATGGTTATAGGACTCTTAGTTTGAAAAAAATACTCACTGGACTATTGCAATAATTACAAAAGAAACGTATGGAAACCTAAAAGTGCTTACACACTAAGAACAACAACAACAACAACAACAACAAATAAAATAATTGACAACAAATCTCACCAACATCTAATCATGCCATCATGCCATTCAAAAGTTTGGGATCAGTAAGATTTGTACGTTTAAAAAAAAAGAAGTTTCTCATGCTCATCAAGGCTGCATTTATTTGATCAAAAACACAGAAAAGTTTTCTATTTTAATATACTTTAAAATATAATTTCTTTCTGTGATTAAACCTAAATTTTCAGCATCATTTAGTGTCACACGATCCTTCAGAAATCATTCTAATATGCTGATTTATTAGTAATGCTGAAAACAGTTGTTGAAAACAATATTTACATAATAATATACATAACCGTTCAATTTTTTTCTTTCTTTCTTTCTGCAAAAAAAAAAATTTTTTTTTTTAATTTAAAAATTTTAAATTTTATTCAGCAAGGGTTGTTAAATTGATAAAAAGTGATAGTAAATACTTATGTTGTTAGCGAAGATTTATGTTATAAATAGAAAGTTATTTTTAACTTTTTATTAATCAAAAAAATCCTGAAAAAAGTATCAGATGTTCCAAAAAAAAAAAAAAAAAGCAGCATAACTGTTTCCAACACTGATAATAAATCAGCATATTAGAATGATTTCTGAAGAATCATGTGACACTGAAGACTGGAGCAATGACTGATGAAAAAAAGGCCTCTAACACCAGCTTGCTCTATTCTTTTTCTATTCTATCTGTTTTCTTTTTTCATTATATAATAAAAAAAAACACTTGCATATCATTGCTCTTTTGTTGATTTTGATTCCTTTCATTGTCCTCATTTGTAAGTCGCTTTGGATAAAAGCATCTGCTAAATGACTAAATGTAAATGTAAATGATGAAATTGGAATTGCGGTGGACCCAGTCGACCCTGTAGCTGGGCCTTGGAGCAGTGGCGGACACAGCCCATAGGATAACTGCAAGGCTGTGGAAGAACACCAAGAGCCGTCGAGCAGGAGGCGTGAAACAGAACAGGACCATGGGGAAGTGACGGGACATGGAGCATGGACAGATCTCACAAGTCTGGTGAAATAGACATAGAAGCATAACCTGGAGAGACATGGCAGACACATGGACACAGGCCGAGGAACAGCCGACTCAAGGGACTCAGCAAGCTCATGGAGCACGGGGCCTCTGCGACAGAAATAAAGTGAAAATTTTCCACTAAGACTGTTATCCAAGATGACAAACACTGGGGTTCTTCGGAAAGCTCTGCAGCATTGCAGAGACCCTCTCTATACCACCACATTTTCCAAAAACATCACCTCAATGAAGGACTTTCCTTAAAAGTCTTCCCTTAACCATTTGTCCTGTTGTCAGAAGTAGTGTGAGTGAATATGGGTCTACTATTGGCACTTTTGACGTAACACTTTTCCACATCCACGAACAGCATAGCATCTGCAGGCTATGGAAGTGATATGGCAAAGTTAGTGTGGAGGTGTTGTTGTGGAGGCGGTAAGATGCAAATGTGATGTCACGCTGTGGAGAAAGAAGACAATTAGTTGTTTTGGCTGCTTGCTTTCTTTTTCTGCAGTGAGAGATTTGTGAATTCTAAATCTCAAGTTTGTAAGTTTCCATGTCAAAAAATCAAGAAAATTTGGATTCCTCATGTCACGACTCCTTTAAAGGAACCATTAAGAAACATTCATTCGAAAATTCATTAAGATTTCATTTTAAGATAACACAGACCCGAACTGAATTTACACAATTTGAGCTGTTATTCAGTGGAAAACCAAGAGAGCTGCTGCTATATCATATGAAGCTCATGAGGAGGTGGCTGTAACTAAACCCACAGTTGGCAACCCTGGCAGCGAAGACACTGGCAGAGTCGTTACGAGTAAACCTGCTTATGTTGACTAAGAAAGAGCAGTTGAAAGAGGCATTTTTCAGATGTACTTCCCAGAAGAACTAATATCATACAGCATGATACATGTCTCATATAGAGCGACTCTACAGTGTGCCAGAGGATAAAAAGATACAGGAACGGAGGTGATAGAAGAGTCCCTGGACCAAACCCATTGTGATGATCCCTAAGCTGGACCGCTATACAATGCCCTGTGCACTAAGAATTAGACAACACATTCAGTGTCTCCAGATTCAGTGCTGAGATTTCCTTGAGCCATTGGCAGTACTAGATGCTTCACTATGGCCTTCATGGGGCATCTTGAAAAAGATTTTACCAAAGAGCCTGCTGCTTGAATGGATTTATTAGGGAAACTGCGCAAATGCGAGTAAAACAAACAATAATCAGTTTAATCTAAAGGTTGCTGGACTCGATTTAATGTTCCTTACAACTTACCAAATATCTAGTGGTCCATGATATATTGGTATGCAGCCAGGAATCGTGTTTTCTGACATTTATATGTGCCTGATTTCGACGCCGGGGAAATACATGAAGCAAATTGGCCTGTGAACGCTTTATTTAAATACAAAATAGGTTGGTCTAAATCCGGGTGATCACTTACATCAATGTTATATATATATATCTGTCATGACAACTCTCGGAGGGATTGGCATGGTAATGTACATGACAATGTTAATGTATTTGGTCTTGGCGGAATAGATCTGCTACGCTGCTGCTGCGGCAGAGCAATTACCGAGACTTGCTATTGCCAATACATCCACAACATGCTGCTGTGAGCATGTAAGAAATATTGCTGCTGCAAATATAACATACATGAAATAACCCCCATATAGTGTACATGAATCACCTCATAGCAGATCTATACAGGTGGAGCTGGGGAAGGTGGAGGGTTTCTGAAGCAAGCTGCAACTGCTTCGGCAAGCACTAGTCATATATTTGAATGCTGAGCAACGAGCTCATTGGCTACCGATACAGGAGAGAACCAATCAGCTGTGCCATGTGATAATGATGTCATTAGGTCAGATTGAGCTAGCTCTATCGGACTGCGCCATCTAGAGTTTCATGCCAGAACGTTGAAATTCAAGCAAAGGCATTTAGCGCTGCTGTCAGTGAATCATGACTTAAGGACTACAACGACAACAATGGCACAATAAGAAATAAAAAA